TGATAGCCATGAGATCTTTAGTGCAAGGTGGAAATTCTCGAGATGTTGGATATACCTACGGTAGGTCGTTCAAGTCTTGCATCCATATCCACGTTATACACACACACACACACACACACACACACACACACACACACACACACACACACACTGTGCGTGTGTGTGTGTGTTTGTGTATGCACACACACGTACTAGTACGTTATGATATATATATATATATATATATGTGTGTGTGTGTGTGTGCTAACACGTTATAATATATATATGTGTGTGTGTGTGTGTGTGTGTGTGTGTGTGTGTGTGTGTGTGTGTGTGTGTGTGTGTGTGTGTGTGTGTGTGTGTACTGCATGTATCCGGCACGTATGATAGCCATGAAATGTTTAATATAACTCGCATGGTGGAATCTCTCGAAATGTTTGAGATACCTACGATCTCACATCCACATAAAATGTTTGTAAGTACACAAGTTTTAATTTCTCTTTCTTTCTCTCTCTCCATATATATATATATATATATATATATATATATATAACATGTTATAAAATGGAACAAAATAAGCGTCTCCCCTGTCGAAGAGGTTTGCAATAAGCTGACTGCATCCCCTACAGAGGATTACTACGACTGACAAAAGTTTCCATTTACCAAATAAATGCTAACAGACACAAATTTTAAACAATCAATATTTATCGATTTGCAAACCAATTACATCCTTATGGACTCAAATATAAACGAACAATATTTGTTCCCTGAACCAAGTCAAAGCGTATAAACTGAAAAAAAGACTGATTCCGACATTAAATATCCCAAGAAGTCTTGATTTGTTCTGAAATAAACCAACTCGATTCGAAATAAGCGTGAAAACTACAAATGATCGAAAGTGACAAATTTCACACTTTGCGTGCGCGTTATTAGTGCAACTCACAGCAAATGAGTGAATCAGTTTCAGGTGAAAGAAAACAAGCATCTGTTTTATTATAAAGAAAAAAAGAACAAGAAGTTTAGTGGTGTAAGAGTTTTAGTAAATAACTGTATTGCCGTCAATGTAGAACGTTTCGACAGTATATCAGGCGGAGTAGCTTGGATAAAAATCAGATTATGCAAAACATAGAATGTAAATGTCATCCCAGTGCATGCAACAACCTTCTAAAATTAGACGAGAAAATTGAAGAGTTTTACGTTGGCATAAACAATGTTATAGACAGGAAGCAAACAAATTACATTTTGATAATGGCTTTCATGACAAAAGTAGGGATAAGAAAAGAGAGAGCAGCTAATGTAGGAAAAATGGGAATAGAGAAGAGAAATGATTGAGACAAAATGTTAAAATTGACAGCGAGATACAAAATGACAATTATGAATATATTTTTATTTAAAGCCAGGAGGCTATAAATGAACTCAGAGAAGCCGAAATGGAGAAAGAAAAAAAGCTATGAAATCGTTTTCATTATTGCTGACCAAGTCAGTAGCGTTAAAGATGTAACTCATAATCAGCGATAACATAGGAAGTGATCATAGAATGATTATTTGGAGAAAACTTAAATATGAGAGAAACAAATTGATTCTCAATATGGCATCATGTTGTAATAAGATCAGAGAGAACACCAACTTTCAGTTGGAAATCAGGAACAGATTTCGGACTTTGTGGGATAACATTGGCAAATATAATTAAAAAAGCAGCTGCTATAACACGCAAATCAAACGAAAATAACAATAAAAATGGGAATGCCTGAATTCAACATTAGAAATTATGAAAATGATGTGGGGGGTCATGGACACAACAATTACGCTAGATAAAACTGAAAACCCAGAACTAAATAATCAACAAGCGAATGAGAAAATAAAAACAACAATAAAAATGAAAAAGGAAAAAAAATCCCGGAAAAGAAAAATGTCTGAAACATCCTTGATACGCAGCCGAAATATATAAACATAAACTGTAATATTTTCACATATAATTCTAACTGAAGAGTAATTTATAAAATGAAAATACCACTGACAATCAGGCCGGCAGATACCAGCCATGTTCCAGATATATCAACAGATTAAATAATCTTTGCACTTCAAAATGTGAAAAAGAAAGCCGGTGAAGTTAGCATAGTAAAGGATCTTTTTTAAAGATGCGAAAGAAGCATTTCAAGACGGAGTGAAAGTTTGTACGATAAAGAAACGTAACTTAAAATTTATTGCAAGATAAGTAATCCCACTTTATAGAAAATTAGATAATAAATATCTCGAAAACTCTCACCTTATCACATTAATATTGAATATATGAAAATTATTTTCAAAAGTACTTACAAACAATCTGACAAACACTCTAGATGAAATTCAGTGACACGAACATGCAAACTTGATGGGTGGTTTCTAAACAATGAACTGTAATCAATAGATCAAATGATAGAAAAACAGAATCTAACCAACCACATTGTTTTGATATTGTTGATGAAAAGGCATTTCATTCAGTAAAATATTCGTCTTGAAGTAACTACGAGTGTTGGGTATTAACGAAAACTCTATAAGAGTTAGTGAGATTATATATGAAAGAAATACTTCAAATCTTCGACTGCACAAATATAAGAAATAAGTACTAGAAAATCCAGGTAATAAAATACAAATTTAATACTACTTTTATATTCGCAACATACCTTGAATATTTTTTGCTGAAAATGAACTGGAAACAATTGAGAGAATATTTGGACAGCATACAATGAGGTGAGGACATTTTACCGATATCAGAGTCATCGAATGAACTGGACTATCCAATGACCGAATCATCCAATGGAATCGGACTGTCCAATGATCGGAAAAAAAAAGAATGTTAAGAATCAGGTTAAAAATGAAAAAGTAATAACAACGCAGGAGCCATGTTTGACAGTAACGTTTTGAGGAGTTTCTAAAATTAGATGAAGAACTAGAAGAAGCCCAGCTGCTACTGATGATCCTACGGTTGTTGCTGTTGCTACTACTGCTTCCGCAGCTGCTTTTGTTCATCATGATGATGATATTATATATAAAAAATCTCTAATTGTTTTAAATAATGTTTGATAGTATGAATTTACTAAATGTAGTTTAGTTTGACACAAACTAACGACTGTTACGAACTTAGTGAGAATCTAAATACACAGTATAGTCGCGTTGGTTTCCATGACAAGCTAGTCAATTCCTACGCAATAATGTAGTTATTTAATCACTTTGGTTTTCATTGGCACAATGGCATATGTTTGGGACATTCAATAAAGACTGAATTTATTACAGTAGTAGTAGACCACGGAGGGAAGAAGGAAGAAAGAACCAAGCATTAATTCTAAGACGGCGAAATTCATGTTTGTCAGCAAAAGACGCCCAAATAACAAGGTACATATTGGGGATATCAGAAGCAAGCTGGTGCGGACATTTAACTATCTAGTTAATGTTGTAACAGATAACGACACAGATATCAGAAGGTCGAATAGTATTAACAAAAAATGCTTCCATAAACAAAAGAAAGTATAGTTTGAAAAATACCGTTAAAACAGAAATGATTGAACTCTTATGTAATATCTAATCTTCTATATGGCTTTGAATGCAGGATGACAAGTGTCATACAGCTGAATAAAAGACCGTGATCTACAGATGGATGCTGAGCATGTTTATTTTTATATTTAATTTACTTATTACAAGATTCAAGAACCACTCACAGTAGAGGATTTCTGAGCAAGACTGTTGTAGAGGGGGAAGGAAAGAGTAAATAGTGCACATTATGAGGACATGTAGAATAGACATCGGTTGGCCGAGGGTTTGTAGAAACTAAGATTGTAGTTGTCAGGGAAGAATCCTCTCGGAAGTTTGTTGCACACAGTAAGAGTTACAAGGAAGAAGGACACGAAGTGGCTGGGGATGATTTTCCATCGTGAACAAGGCATAATGGCTCCTAAGTCGACCGAACATCTGCCATAGTAATAGTGAATAGTATTGAGAGGTTCTGTTGGATAAGGGTTGCAGAGTGGAAAATAATTCATCACCTTTAAGGCTGTCTAATAGCTTTAGAACTTTGCCTAAGATTGACACTGAGGACTGGGAAACACCTGCCCAGATATGACAGCAATACTCCATTCTTGAGAATGATACAGGTGTGAGATATTTTCTGGAGCGATTCAAGAAACTAACCATTCTTCTACCATCTTTTGAGATGGCATGAATGGTTGGAGGTCGAGAGTGCGCCTTAGACTAAGTAGGCTTTCAAGGCAAGGAGCTTCTTTGAGCGTATGACCGCTGATCACTGCAGAATTAGGTAGTGATGAAATGCTACTACCTTTGATTTGGAGGTAACGAGGAAGGTTTTAGAAAAGTAACTACAAGGAAACTGCTGTAAAAAAAATAAATAAATAAACAATATAGAGATTAAGTTTCTAGGAAACATCCTGCAAACAGAAGATTTGAAGAATTTGGTACTTTAGGAAAGATAAATGAAACAGAATCAATGCGCCAGTAACCTATTTTATGTTTTTAAATGAACGGATGGCAGAACAAGAGCAAACAATGACCGAAATTGTGAGAATGTAAGAACAGCAACAAACAGGCGTAGATGAGTTTGCCTATCGTCCAGTTCACACGCTTCCACAGTCTTTGGAACAGTATTTATTCCTTGTTACCTGTTTAGTATTATATTTCCGGTTCCATCCAAAGTCTTCTTCAACTATATACTTCTAATATCCACGCCTAAAACTCTAAACTTTTATTTGCTATTGAGTTGTTTTTCTCGACAGGAGTAAATAGGTTGGCTTATTGTCCGGTTTGAGCATGAGGAGAGGTTTACCCATTCTTTCTTGTTTAGGATTGGGTTTCGGTTTCATCTGAAGCTTTTTTCCTTCGTTTTCACTTCCCGTGAACCCTTGAGTCTGAGTGGCATTCATCTATTTACTTGGGGTAGTGCCACTTAGTCTATATCCTTCTACCTCGATTGGCTATCGGGCCTCGTACAGGGTGAATGTCATTGTACAAAAAAAGATAGGAGTCAGGATCACCGTTGTACCGAAAGACAAGGTATATGGAAGAAGAAGAAGAAGAAGAAGAAGAAGAAGAAGAAGAAGAAGACTACCCCATAGAGAGGTTTCAGAATACGATTAATTCTCTGTAATTCTCCTTACTCGTTTTCGTCGTCTATCGTAGCCTCTTCTTTATTCCCCTCCTACTTTATCCTTTTACTTTCAAGGTTAAAACTGTGTACGAAATTTATTACTCACAAGGAGCTCCAGGAATATGGTCTTGTGCCAAAACAGTATCTGTCCAATAAATATTTACTCTCATATATGATACTAAAAATGAATATAAATCAGAAATCAGCTCTAGGAAACATATATTCCGACCAGCGTTTGTGGCGGAGGATGACAGGAAGACGATGAAGTGGTTTGAGAGAAGGCCACGTTTGCATGATAGCTTTCCTACTTCTAAACTTCCAAAGAAAACATAAGCCCATGGGATTTTAGTTAAAGTGCCTAAACATTTACGAAGCTTTGTAAAAGGCAACCGTGCAAAATGAAGGCACAGCTGAAGCAGGCTTTTAAATTTATTCGCGAGAATATTAACTAATAATAGTTAGAATTACAATAAAGATATATCTAAGTAGAGTGGAAGATATATGAATACATAGCAACAGTCTAAAACAAAAAGCTACCTACCTAGATAGATAGATAGATAGATAGATAGATAGATAGATAGATAGATAGATAGATAGATAGATATGATCCAACTGGGATAGAGATATGCACAAAGTGAGATAAACAAAAAGAAAAGAGAAAGCTAGAGAAACAAATTAGGTTTAATAGATTTGCTTTATCTCACCAGAAAATCACTGACCGCATTATTTGAAACATTCGTACGATTTTGTCGAGATTAAATCATCGTCTCTCTTGACAGAAACAAACAGCTAGCGATACAAGTTCCTCCTCTATCACTCTCTCACTTCCTCTCTGTCACTCTCCCTCTTTGTCTCAATTTTTTTCTTTCTCTCTCTCTGTGTGCGTGTGTGCAACTTGTGTTCCCAAAAGATAGAAGCACATATCAAGTCATCCCATAATTAATATTTCATATCTGATAGCGATACAATGAATATTCTTCTGAAATGCCGAAACGATATCATTACATGCTCATGCAGATTCCTTGTTTTTAAATGAATAAGTTACATCATCATCATCGTAAAATTTTACTGTCTTTCTTACTAAATTTATTCTCTTAAAGATGGCCATGTCTACAGAGCAAATGAGATATGGAATTTTGCATGAGTTTCGAATAGGTAATAACGTTGAAGAAGCAGCAGATGAATTCATAGGATTGATTCATAAATGCAAGAATTCCTCAAGATGGTTTAAAAGGTTTCGCAAAGATAACTTCAGTTTAATAGAAGCGTCACGAACTGATCCCCATAAAATTTACGATAAGCTACTTTTACCAAAATGCGATAGAAATACAACTGAAAAATACGAACTAAATCAGGAACTTCTACAACAACGGAATTATAAAGTGAATGAATGGAAGGGTTTTTATTAGTAATGATTAATTAATAATCAAATTCTAATTGCGCAAGGATTTTCTGGTTTAAATTTCAGACATGAATTATGCGATGTGATGATAGATAGATAGATAGATAGATAGATAGATAGATAGATAGATAGATAGATAGATAGATAAGAGACGACTTAGATAGACAGACAGACAGACAAGAAACTGAATGAGATAGATAGATAGATAGATAGATAGATAGATAGATAGATAGATAGATAGATAGATAGATAGATACAGCAACTCTATATACAGATAGATACAGTCACTCTGTTTCATTATCTATCTATCTATATATACAGAGGAAGAAAGAAAGATATAAACAAAGAAGCTAAAATAGATAGATAGATAGATAGATAGACAGATAGATAGATAGATAGATAGATAGATGATGCAGCAACTCTATATACAGATAGATACAGTCACTCTGTTTCATTATCTATCTATCTATATATACAGAGGAAGAAAGAAAGATATAAACAAACAAAGAAGCTAAAATAGATAGATAGATAGATAGATAGATAGATAGATAGATAGATAGATAGATAGATAGATAGATTCTCCGTCACTTTTATCGTCCTTAAGACGAACAATTAATTACATAATCATGATAATCGTGATAGCAATTTCTTCTAAAGTTTGCAGTGCCTCACGGTTTCTCCTTGTTGTCGACAGGGGCTTTCCTCCGCCAGGCAGATCTAAGATTTGATCCGAAACAACAGTCGATCATTGTAGGCACCACCATCTTTTATCACCTCCCGCATTTTTAAATTAGTATTTTTTTTTCTTACTGGTGTTTACTACTTCATTAATTAAATATACCCAACAAACAGAACTAAGTTTGCAAAAGAATGAAAAGAACAAGGCAAAAATAATACCATAAAAAAACAATATATGCAAGACAAAATTAAGCAAAGTAACATTTATGAGGTAAAAAGTTCACAAACTAAGAATAGTGTTAAGCCACAAAAAGGAAACAGGCAAGTGATCGCAATGTTCTAACTTCAAGACAAGAAAGAATAGAAATATGGCGAATAAGACCAAGAAGTGGGCTATCTTATTGGATAGGAAGAAATCCCAGCATTCATCAGTATTTTTTGCCTATAAATTTGGGGTAGGGGATATTTTGAAGTAATTCCTACAGTGATTAGACCTAAAAACATTAACTAATTCTCGCAACACATTTGTCTGTTCATCTTTATTGAATATGACAATCTACAATGAATAACATTTGGGAAGACTAGTATTGTATATTCTAACATGTGAGTCGAGTGCTCTGATTTGCGAAGGTACGTCTGCTTACTCATGTGAATCTCTACATGAGCACATGTCGGAATGTATGCGCCTAAATCAATGATAAATCCGTGTCCCCCTCCCCTGAACCCTAGCTACATTATATGGCCGAAGAATGTGCCAATAAATCCATAACAACCACAAGAACAATTCTCCGTTATTCCACGATTTGGCGGCATAAAAGGAAACAGCCGGGCTGCCTTTACCCCAGCCCTGAACATCTGCAGAGAAGCAGACAAACCTTCCCCCCATACCACGCATGATAGGACAATCTTCCTATGACAGTCCAGATCGCTTCCTTTCTCCTTCTGGCCAATTCTGAGAGAAATGTCTTTCGACCGTTATAGAAGAATAACGCAAGTATGCCTTGATTTAAGAGACTTCATACAGACATTGTTTTATAGCAATAACGTTTAGAATCTATTTCGATGTGTTTCTCTTTCTTAACTTTCTCTTACGTGCAAACGCGTTAGCAACCATTCTGTGACAGGGTCTATTCGTTCAAATAAATATATGCATGTGCACATGCGCATGCGCGTATAAATGTATGTACTAATATAATATGGTGATATAACAATCGTATGAAATATCAATGGGCTCCTAAAGTGACAAAAATATTGAAAATATTGCCAAACAGAATAATTACTCAAACATGTTCATACCAACATTATATATATAAATACACACAGACACACACACACACACACACACACACATATATATATATATATATATATATATATATATATATATATATATATTTGGTTGGATAGATGTGAGTTTGTGACCCTGGGTTTCACGCTTTAGCGATCGTCAGACAAACTGATTAATGTTTTAAAAAATTTGGGTTTATGTAGATTGCGTGTATTGGTGTTATTGTGGAAGTGGTGGGGAAATTTCGTCGTTTTGTCATTCATCGTACTAACGCAAACATCGATGTATGCAGACACATATACATACTTGGTCGTCCGTCGGGACTCATACATATATAAACATATGTAGACAGTTTCGGCTATGACACATGTATGTATACGGGTGGTGTTATGTCTATACATACGCATTTGTATGTTGAAATGTTGAAATTTAAACATTGGAAGTGTGGCGGAAATGTCTCGTTAATGTACCGCGCATATAATATATAAATAATTATACATATATATATTTATTTATATTTATATACACTTTTCATATATATATATATATATATATATATATATATATATATATATATATATATACCCGACTGATTTAGCATAAGTCAGAGATTTTATCCCCAAGCCATTGATGCACGACAGGGATGATGGTGAATTTAGATGTATTTATTTTTAGACAAAGACGTCAGTGACCGGAGGACTCGATTCGTCTTAACGAAGAGCCTTGCATCAGTATCAGTAATAATCACTGTTTACAAATTCACTTTCTCCCCAAAGAGCTCAACCGAAATATTTTTTTTTTTCAGGGGCAATATAAAATGAACCTCGAGTGGCAACTGTCTGTTTCGTGCATGAAACAGATTGTCACCAATCGTTGTTGACCTCAGTGTGTGTCCACTTTTATCTACGTGCACATGCTCTATCCCTTATATTATCTATCTACAGACGCTTTATACCTGATAGTGAGCACTTTTACCCATAAATATAGCCCATCTTAAAATTATGGATTTATTATATTGTATATATTTTAATATGATAAATGTATAATTTTAAGATCTGCTTAATTTATAGATAAAAGTGTACAATAGAGCACGTAATAAGGAAAGAGTGCTTGGAAAATCTGATGCTCACAGGACAGATTGAAGACAAGAGGGGCAGAGGAAAACAACGCATACTTTACATAGTGAGCTTCACTAAATGTATTGGGGAATAAAGTTTAGGAAAAATAACAAAAAGAAGAAATTAATTAAGAGCTACAAAGAACAGGAAGTTGCGGAAAGCGATATTCGCTTACGTCTTGAAGCGAGACGGTACATAAAGATGAATATATATATATATATATATATATATATATATATATATATATATATATATACAATATGGCAATATGGTAATCCGTATGGAATTTCCAGGAGGATATAGATCCAGAGAGAGCTCTATGTCAAAGAACGGAGCAAAATTATTATTAATTAAAGAATATAAAACACTTAATTAATTACATCTGCTGTTTTTTATAGATCTCATGTAATAAAAATTATTACCTATGGGATTTTGTTTCATATTCTTTTATAATATATATATATATATATATATATATATATATATATATATATATTATATATATCAAATATTATACATATCAAATATTATACATATCAAATATATATGTATATATCAAATATTATACATATCCACTATATATGTATATAAATGAATGCCAACATTCAGACACAACATTGCTTCTTGATAATGACTGCGAAAGTCGAAAAATACTTGAACAAAAATAACAAATTATGAACTTCGGACAGTTTATCCACAACTTCGAGCACAATACTCAACACCTTATAATAAAACAGGAAAAATGGAATAAAAAATTAAACAGAGAAGCCTAGGTGGTTCTTGTAATGAAACTTGTTTGTATATATATATATATATATATATATATATATATATATATATATATATATGTATATATATATACTAATAAGAAAATTATAAGTAATGCATTATTTAGATGCACAAGTAAAGCATCGATATCGATAGGAATGCATGTATTTACATATATATATTGCTATTAATATTTACATATATGTATAGATATATAAATATAATGATAAAATTTAAATTAAGAACAAATCAAAAGAAATCTGAATAAAATTGGCTAAGAAAAAAAAAGATTAGATATACAAAACGTCAAAAATATTGTTTTAAAGCTGAGCATCCCAGTATCTTTAACGCATTTTTATAGCTTTCCTTCATTTTTCACTTTTTTCTAGTAACTCTCAATCACTTTCCCTTTCCGCCTCATTCTTACCTTCACTTACACCCGCCCCATACGTACACAAGGACTTCTTCTTTTACATATACGGACACCAACTCTCTCTCTCTCTCTCTCTCTCTCTCTCTCTCTCTCTCTCTCTCTCTCTCTCTAATACTCATGTACATTTCCCTCTATCTCTTCGACTTTCCCTCCTAATGTTATTACGTCTTTATTTCTTGGAAAATAAATCATTCGACAAAGAAAAAACAAAAAGAAAACTGGTATAAAGAAATTCTTGGATTTTATTTCTTTATTGATAGAAATAAAATTTGTACGGCACTGAAGTAATATTTGTCAATTCGTGACCCTTATAAATCTCGATGGGTCTACAATTGTTTTTCTATCTTCCATTGAAGTAGTATTCTCTTCTATTATGTTTTAAAAATAAGTAATATAAGGAAAGTTAAACTGCACACGCTCGTTTCTGTCTATCTATCTATCTATCTATCTATTCAAATCTATCTATCTATTCAAATCTATCGATTTCAATCAGTTCAAATCTATTTATCAACCTATCTGTTTGTCGATGATGTCTTGCGATGGTCATACTCAATACCGAAGTGGTGGCCATTTTCTCTCCTTTTATCACTCTCAATTACTCGCTATCACTCTCTATATATATGTGTTTGTATGTGCGTGCGCTTGTGTGTGTGTGTAAAACTATTATAGTAATATGTATAATTTATATATATATATATATATATATATATATATATATATATATATATATACACACAAATGTTCGCATTCAAGACCGTCGACTTTAGGAGTTACTTAGATGACAAATAAGATCACAAACTTTATTTTTAAGATAATTTCGTAGGCATGGTTGTGCACATGCATTTTTGTTTCCGAGAATTAGATAGATAGCTAGAGAGATATGAACAGATAGATAGATAGATAGATAGATAGATAGATAGATATGAAAGTGACTGACATAGATAGATAGATAGATAGATAGATAGATAGATAGATAGATAGATAGATAGATAGATTTGAATTTTGTAGGCACAGTTGTGACCATGCGGTTTTGTATGTGAGAATTAGCTATATATATATATATATATATATATATATATATATATAATCGTTATCACACAAGGCAGTAATGACACTAAAACACAAGGGGTTACTTAATGGGTGAGTAATCAAGAGGACAGTAGATAGCGGTTGATATTGCATTTAAATTTTTGCAGATTAAAGTTGGCTGGAAAACATGTAGCCGAAAGGGAGTTCCACACGCAAGAAGTGCGAGAAAAGCAACTGTTAGCATAGAATGATGAGGTCTCGACGCCAGTCTAGCACTGAGCCTAAATTCATACAGTCTAGGTACCATGGCAAAGATCTCATCCGAACATTAAAGTATTTATAGAAAAGGAGACAGAGTGACTGAAGCCGAATCTCCAGATCAGGACCAATAATATTGCTGATTCTTCTTTGGATTTTATCAAGAAGCTCAAGGTAAATAGCAGGGTCACCGGACCATGTGTGGCAGCAATATTCTAAGTATGGATGAATAGTAGACTTATAGATATGCAAGATTCCTGATAGAAAAATTGTCTCACACGACACAGTGAATTGACTTTCTTAGCAGCTGACCTAGCAATGGATTCAATATAGTCTTTCCACTTCATGTCAGCTGAGAACGATAGCTTGAGAAGGCGCAATGAGTCACTTTCCCGGAGGTTAGCATCAGTCATGCTGAAGGAAAGTAGAAAAGAGTTTCAGGGATTATTAATGGAGAGAAGTTTAGTTCTGGAGGCGTTAAAATTAACAAGCCATCTTTTATTCCCAGTTAACGATGGACTGAGGTTCGTTTTGGACATCAGCTGCCATTTTTCCATAGTCAGACTGATTAGCCTTACTATTGAGGTAGGAATAAATGGTTGTGTCGTCAGCTTATATGCCAAGTTGAGAGGTGATGGTCATCAATGAAAATTAAAAACAACGTAAAGCCAATGATGGAGCTCTGGCGACCATCCACGTTGGTACAAAAGGATGTAGATGAGTGGCCGTTCAGAACAACTTTCATTTCGCTATTTGAGAGAAAAGATTGGATCATTTTAAAAAAATGTCTCCGATGATACCGTAACTTTTCAATTTGTGGAGAAGACCTATATGTCAAACCTCGTCAAAAGCTTTCGAGGTGTTCAAAGATACAAGGCGGGCTTCACTGTCTTTTATCTAGAGCAATATAGGCTCTTTCCGCAATTATCGTTAGTACATCAGAAGTTGACCTCGAGAAACGAAAGCTGTACTGCTTGTTTGAGAAAAGGCCC